ATTATATCTTAGCATTCAGGAACAGGGAGTTTAAAGATAGAAAAATGATAATCTGAAAATCAAAATTTATTTGCTAATGAAGAAGAGAACAGAGAGTGAACCGTTCAGACGTCCCAGCTGCTAGATATGCAATCATCAACCACAGATACTAGAAAGTGTTATATTAATCGTGCTGACTCTTTAACTGATTAAAAGACTTGCTGAATAAAGCGGTTATTAGCAGGGTTTTATACCCCTTATCCCCAATTCATCACCCTCCCCTCCTCCTCCAAACGAATGTGCCTGTGGATAATAGCGATATTGACTGCTTTCTTTTCGAATATCCACCCAAAAGAAAAGTAGATAGTTTGATTAGCTATGCGTGGTTGTCAGCTTTCGTTTCTTTTCTTTACTTTTCTTTTCACACTTTTCACTGTGACTTATCCAGGTGTAAAGAACCAAACGAATGTCAAAACAATCCCATTTAATGTGCTATATAAACAGTTTAAAGACAAATAAGTTCACATTGAGAGTATGCAAGAGATAAAAAAAAAATAACTGGTAAAATTCGAAACCGTTTTGGGGTTGAGGTTCAGACCATATGAATCTCCTGGTTCCACCCCCTCTTAATGGGCATTTATATATAGTTGACAATCAATTGTCGACTCCTGGATATATATATATAAACCATCGATCCAGCAATATATATAGTTGACAATCAATTGTCGACTCCTGGATATATATATATAAACCATCGATCCAGCAAATTTAGCCTGAGGCATGGAGAAAACGTAACCAAATGTATAGTTCATTTAAGGGTGAGTGAAAGAGAAGCCTTGTTAAGGACTTTGTAGACGGATAATTCTCGATGGAAACATTAAGAAAGCTTCAAAGTATAATTATTTGGAGCATCATTATTGATGTATTGATATAAAGAATCTGACTCGCTAGAAACCATATGTGAAAGTGTGACGGATATTTCACTTATTCGTTGGCAGCCTATGGAGAAGTAGGTCATGCAGCTATAAGGGAGAGAAAACAACTAAATCAGTTAATGTATTTTCGTCATACCTGCCAAAAAGCAGTCGACGAAGTTTCTGGTAAGTGAGTAGGTTCATTGTTTAGAGACTTAAAGACTTATTTATTTATTTTTTCCTTCGCGTCTGAATTTGTTCGTATTATTTCCCAAATTACGCTTGTGAAGCCATGAAAGACAAACGTGTAATGTCCTTTGTTTTTCATTAACAATATTCATGTCCAATCACGTGACTGCGAATATTGTTGGCATTAGTCACAGTATCAACGTATAGTTAAAACGTTCATTGAATGGAGAACAGGATGTCTTGAGAAACGAAAGTAGACTTCGCAGTAGGATGTTGATCAGAAAAAAAGTTGAAAAGGTCAGCCTAGTCAAACTAAGTAGGTATGACTTTTCAAACGTAGCTGATGATACGATTCCTCTAAAGTTACACAGTAAGTAGATTTTCCATATTTCTTTTATTTGTTAAAGAATGTTTACCATTATTTATTATTTGTTACTAATATTAGGTAGATGGAACTGCTCAACTAGATTGTACTTATCACTTTCTATTTTTACATTTAGAATTTTCTTTTTCTCAGTTTTGCTGTCCTTTTGCCTCAGAATGAAGCGTCGATTATCATTTTTGAAGGTATTTATGTTTGCACAAATTTTCAAACATCAGATCGCTTGCTTATTCTTTGTCTGTTGCCTGTCATTTATGTTGTCAGTGTGTTGTAGTCTCACATGTTCTGAATTTTTGTATGCATGTACATATTTGCTATTTATGTATGCATAGATAGATAGATGGCATCGTGGATGGACCCACTCATGGATAGTCAAGAGTCATAGACGTTGTCAAAGAGAGCTTATATCTCCTGAGACATGTCCTCGTGCATAGTCAGATTAAATATTTAGTTTGTTCGATAAGTAAATGTCGCGTTGACAAAGGCATTGGACAGATAAATAAAAGTATGGCACAACCTCACATATGACCACAACCTCACACATGACCACAACCTCAGTAAACTCGAAATCCTCTCTAAAACTGAAATGTTTGCTGCTCCTGAGGTTAGTCCTCGATGCAAGCCGAAACATATATCGGACACAAGTATAAATTTGATTTTAAAACAAAACAAAACAATAAAGACAATGAACTCTGTCACGAGCGGAAACTGTTCTAGAGCGCGTTTTCAGCCATTAAGTTGTAAGACCACCAAAAACGAATGCATTATTCTAAACTAGAATTGTGACAAAATTAATACCCGAATACTATATTTATTTTAGTAGAAATATGTAAAAATTAATTACATAGCGTGACATAAAAACAGACATTAATAAACATGTAAATGTGACAGTGAACCTTTATCATAGCTATAATCACATTTTTTTGTATGAAAATATTGAAGCAGTATAAAGCATATACAACCGCTCCGGTGGCCTAGTGTTTAGAGCATCCGCCTCAGATGCAGGAGGTCGTGGGTTCGATTCCCTATTGAGTAATACCAAAGACTTACAAAAATGGTACTAACAGCTGCCTCACTTGGCGCTCAGCATTAAGAGGTTAGTGTTAGGACTGGTCGGCCTGGTGTCAGGATAATGTGACTGGGTGTGACAGTAGTAGGAGAAAGTAAGAATCCGAGCTCAACAACCCCCTCCAGACCTCCAAACAAATACAAAATACCTAGGTAACGTAATAGAAAACCTATTGCAATCAATAATTGCGTTAAGAATCCGAGCTCAACAAATACAAAATACCTAGGTAACGTAATAGAAAACCTATTGCAATCAATAATTGCGCTAAGAATCCGAGCTCAACAACCCCTCTAGACCTCCAAACAAATACAATAGAACACCTGTTGCAAAATATCTAGGTAACAGGTAAAATTTAATTACGTGATCTTCCAGAATAAGCAGAATGATATGTCAGACTCAATTTTCCAAATCATTACGATTTAGCAGAGCGTGGCGATTGTGGACTAAATTACGCATTAGAATTCCAGTAAGGTAAGTGGTATTATATAAAATTTTATGTTATATCATACTTCTTTTGATAATCTTTCTCATATTTGCTGATCCTCATGGGTAGAATATCTGTTAACATGTTGTCAATAATACGAAATTCACGTATTAAATCGTCCATACTATATTTTACTCCTCGTAGGTAAGATCTTATTTGATCAAGTAGTTTTTTGTAAGTTATAATTGATGTTAAGCAGCCGTGCTTTTTTATCAAAATTTTAGGTTCAACTTTTTTACAAGCTGCTGTAAGAGAAACACCAACACCGGATATGATTAACAAAAACGGGTTTAATGATATACCACTTGAAATTATGCCAGAACTAGTCATTAACAAGGGTAGATATGATATTACTCGAAGTATTTTGTTATAATATTTGTAGCATTTTTTAACGCACCAAAGTTTTTTATGATAATATTTGTAGTATTGTATTAGTGCGTCAACATCCTGTCCTGGAATATCTTTTGAAATATGATTGAAATCAACTATACTTTTTTTCATTATAATATTTGTTCATATAATCTCAGGCTTGATTAAGTAACTAGTTGAGGTGTTTCAGCCACAAATTCCAGACAATACCAATATGACGCAGCAGTTAATTTTTTGTCATCTGCTATTAGCATAAAAGTTTCTTCAACATCTTTGTTTAACACAATAGACACGGTTCCAGAGAAATTATCAGTCGAGTGACGCCATGGAAATAATGTAAATATATTAAACTTTGCACTGCTCAACACGGACAATCTATACACACCAGTGACCTCTGCAGTATGTTTGAGAGTGTTATTTTGCGGCGACCAAGTAGACATTCCAGAAGCAACAGTATAGACAATATTTTTAATCTGCTTGTGAGGAATTTTAATCATACTCGTTTTCTCAACAATACTAGGAATTCCACTAATAATATCGTTGAGTTTTGTGTTAATATTATCGAGTGTAATATCAACAGATGGCGGACTTCCAAAAAATTCGTTATTGGTTTTGTTTATGTTTCTGCGAAAATTTAAAAACGTGGTGATGTGATTAGTAAAATCAGTTTTGAACTTGGTGATTTCATTGTTGATATCATCAACATATTTCTTTGTTACAGCATCAAAATCAGATTCTGGTGTTCTAAGATTATTGATGCCATTATTGTTCATGTTGAGAAATGCACGCATTATACCGCCACGCACCGACACGTACTTTGATTCCTGATCATCAACATATTTCTTAGTAGCAGCGTCATTATCCTCAGTTGGGTTTCCAAGGTATGTGATCTTGTTCTGGTTCATAACAATGTTTCCCGTAAATAAATCACCTGCTTTTCTAACATAATCGTTAACTGACCTACCCGAATCTTCTATCTTACCTTGATTATTAAAAGTAACAATATTATTAGCAACTGCAGTAGGATTTCGTACTAGTACATCTGATAGTTGTACATTACTCGTCTTTAATCGTCCTTGTTTGTCCTGGAAAACTACAACTTCATTTGGATCTACACTTGCAACGTTTAACAAATTGTTGATTTCATTTTTGAGCTTATCAAGAGTTGCATACTTGGATAAGTCACCCTGGTAACCTTCTGTTAATAAATCTACTGCTAATGTTCCAAATTTTGTATAGTAGCTCATTATACATACCGTTCTACACAAAATTGTTGGATTAATATAACATAAAATTATACGATGGCGAAGATAATAAACTTTGACACCGAGCGATTGGTGAAGCATAAACATAACAATGAACTTCCAGACTGTCATTATCTTATTGTTGGGCGAACTGGATCTGGTAAAACAAATTTGTTATTAACTCTTTTACTCAATAATAACTTTAACTATGATAAGGTGTATATTTACACCATCAACCCCCAACAAGACAAATACAAATTATTAAACGAGTATAATGATAAACTTCGTGATGAACTTGGCATTGGTGATGATATATTTTTGATAAAACAACCAGAAGAACTCGTTCCAGTGAATGAACTCGATTCGTCAGAGCATAAGATAATCGTCTTTGATGATATTCCGCTAAACAATGAGGAAATGAACAAGATTAGATCATATTTTTCACTATCACGTAATAAAGATGCAATTCTGTTTATCTTGCCCAAGGTTTTTATAATGTTGATAGGTTTATTAGGCGAAATACGGGTTGTTTCATATTATTTCCCGGACTAGATAATGTGGATGTGAGAAATATTGCAAACGAACAATGTGGTGATGTTACAAAAGATAAATTTATCGAATTATATCATCGAGCAACTAAAGATCGATATAGTTTCTTTTTATTTGACAAGCTAGCGCGTGATCCAACCAAGATGTTTCGTTGTTGCCTTGAGACCGTTTCTATGATATAATTTTGTAAAGCGTATAAAAATAATGGACAAACATCAACAGAAAATCGAATTACTAAAAAGTTTCTCGAAACTCGAGCGGCTTTTAAGAAAAAGGTGGAAGAAGCTCGACGTGGACAAGTTCAAGCAGAAGAAGAAAGAACCAAATTTTTCAAACCTGTTACTGAGGGCGATGCTTGGCAAGCAGCCAGAAATACAAACATCATCTCCAGAAGAACTAGCAAAAATGAAAGAAAAGGGTTTGTTTGGTTTACTTGGAGAAAGATCAAAAGAAGAAACTGTAAAATTGTAAACGAACTTGTAAGAAACATTGCTGATCCTGCTGTGCTGCACGGACCAAGCTGAGTTTGACAGGCTAATGAACAATCCTCTTGAACTTCAACACGCAATAACAAGATTGACGGTTAATCCAGATGAGATAAGAAGTATGATGGAAAATTGTCAGAACAAACTGAGGAATTAGCTGAGAAACAAAAAACGTTACAAGAAAGTATGATAAAAATAATGCCTCTTGAGGATGATACTATCATATTTTACAGAAGACAAGCTAGGTCTAAAATAGAATATGTTGAGTATGAAGAGTTTATGGAAAATAATAATATCACTAATATTAATAGTATTCGAGATTGGCCAGAAGAAAACTATAACGATTTGATAAAAAAATTAAAAAGAATTGTAGAAGAGAGCTCACATGCTGATGAAGAAATTAAAGATCAAAAAGATGAAGAAAATATTCCAACATTACTCAATTATATTAGAGATGGAATTATGGCTGAAATTTTACTAAAAACATCAATACAATATCGAAATAAACCAGAAGGTTATAAAAAAGGATGGGATTTTAAAAGACTACTCAAACAATATGAAAACATGCGAGATAAAAGATTACCGGAAAAAAAAGGAGGTGGAGTTAAAGTTTTTACATCAAACGCAGACATAGTCGATCGGCTAATGCTGTTGATATCCTCTAAAGAAGCTGGTAATGAAAGTGTAGAGATTGATAACGAAATTATTGATATACTTGATCATCTAAGATCGAGTGGATTACTAACATCATCCGAGTACGAAATTTTACACCGCGATCTTATCTAAAATATTAGTATAATGCAAACAACATTATTGCTTGATTCGTCACAAATAACAGGAAACAGCGCGAATTTTACAGTAAATTACAACCCACCAATAGAACTAGATCCTGCAAAACAGTATGAGATTGGATTAATTTCTTGTACTTGTTGGAACGCCATGCCAAATATTAAACCTAGGATTAATGATGAAATTTTAATCGTTAATGTTAAACAATCTCCAACATCACAAAAAGAGAAGAGTTTATTGATATACAATACAAACTACAGATTCCACAAGGAGCTTATAACATTACTGATCTAACAGAACAATAAAAGAGCTTCTAACAAAAGCTGGTGGGAATGCTGATAATTTCGAATTAGCGGCGAATTATAACACCTTACGAGCTAGGATAACAGTGAAAAGAAATATGAAAGTCCTCTTTGAAGAAAGAAGTTTTGGAAAAATGTTAGGTTTTACTAGAGTTTTATACTATACCACCGGTGAAGATAAATCTTTGACATTTGATGGAGAACTACCAGTAGATATTACAGAAGTAAATACAATACTCATCAATTTGCTCTATCCGCATCTGGATCTTATACGTCAAAAGGCAACCGCGGACAAACGATCTACAGTTTCTCACCAGAAGTCCCACCGGGTTCTCTAATGCAAATCACTCCGCGACAGATTATCTACTATCCAATAACACCTGAGAATCAAATTACAAGCATTACAATGCAACTCACCTCACAGACCAATCTGGACGACAAATAGACGTGAACAACGAGATAGTCACGTATTACTTACACCTACGCACTGCCTAGGCATGTGATTTTGTGTACATAATTTTATAAAATGAGACGAAGAAAAGTTTATCGAAGAAAAATTGTAGGTGGATTTTTTGGAAATATATTTACAACAATTGCCGAGGAATATCCAGGAATCGCGCGTAAAGTAGCGCCCCATTGCACTTGACGCCGGTAAAGCTTTCGCTACAGGGGCGGCATCTTCAGCAGGCACTGCAGTAGGGCAAAAGATTGCTGATAAGATTAAAGGACCTTCCCCATCAGAAAT